CCTATGTACGCAACCATTCTGGGTAATAGTAGGCATGGTTGGGAGGCCTCTATTTTGATCCCCTCATCCTTTTTCTCGAAAAAAATAAATAAATGTACACCCTTATGGTATGGGTTTTTCTGCTACGACATCAAAATTTTACTAGCTTTCAATCATGTCATGATGATGAAAGCAGCATATCTTGCAGAATGACTCATGCATAAGGATATTTTGTTGATTGTATTTTCATGTTGTCTATTTCCTTTTGTTGTAACCCGAGTATATTGTTAAGTAAAGTTTGTTGTGGTCTGAATAGGCACAAGCATATGAAAAAGCATGTTATGATATATGAAGAAGTTGTAAACAACAAATTTATTGCACTTTTTAATGATTAGCTATGTTACTTGGGTACTTCTAATCTGGAACCGTACCAGTGCTCGTACCCATACCCAGACTTCTTGGACACTCCTTGCATAAATGCATGCATTTATTCTAGCATGTAGCCAATTATACCATACATGTTTTAATTTAAAACACTGGTCATACATTTTGTGGACACGGATGCTACACTTCACACCCACATCTTCAAACTCGTTGGACATAGTTTAAGTTCTGAATTATGATTTTAAAGGGTTGTTTGCATGTCTAGTTGAAAAACTAGTGATTTTCCAATTTATAATCAACATGATAAAAGAAACATAAAACTATTACAAGACTTTTAATTCTCATCCTTGTTCTCATATAAATTATTAATTCCAATATATAATATATATGTGTATATCAATATTTATATAGCGGTGTCCCCGTACCTTACCATTTACAAATTTGCCAATGTCCCGTACCCGTAACTGTACTGGTACCTGTACCCATGCAACATAGTTGGTTAGTTTGTAAAATTTTTTATGGTTTAGGCATATTGCTTATGTTTTTAATTTTTTTTACTTATAGTAATTCCATCCAAGTTCTCCATTTTTCAGTAATGTGCACCCTTTTGAGCTGGATGTTATATAAAGCTATTCCTTTGATTTTTTTTTTTTGGGGGGGGGGGGTTGGGTAGGTGGGGGTAGCTTTCATTATATACTCAGCCATTATGGGCAATAGTAGGCATGGCTGGGAGGGTTCTATTTTCAGCCCCTCATCCTTTTTCTCAGAAAAAAAGTCTACCCTTAAAAAAGGGTTTTGCTGCTACTACATTAAATGGAGCAGGTAAGTTGGTCATAAAAGAAAAGAAATGTTTTTTTGGTATCATTAGGATAATATACTTCGTTTTATTGACATGCTTTACTCGATTTTGTTATAATATGATGCGAGACTTTATGTTGTGCATTTATTAAACAATAAAAACGTTAATGCCTTTAACAAGATATTAAACAGTGTCAATGAATTGTTCCCTCAACATCATAATTGGAGCACTTGTACTGATTGTGTCATGAGCAATGTAATAGGATCTTGTTAACCTTTCTCGTCATTGTTTATATGCTTATTGAAATTATTTTTTCCTTGTCCCTTGATCTTCTATATATTTATTGACCTCTCTATTAATAACGGTGTTTTCATGTTATGCTTTCTGTTTTTCTCAACATTTATAATTCTCTGAACTCTTTTGATTTTTATTCTGTTATGTTGTATAGGCTGTAGCGGACATAATTCGAACTACTTTAGGGCCACGGTCCATGTTGAAAATGCTGCTAGATGCTGCAGGAGGTGCGGTCTCATATTTCTTATAGTTTTATGGTGATTTAGACATTTATACGTGGTGTTCCTTTTATTAACTTAATACTAGTGATGGAAAAATTCATCCATGGTTGGTGCTGGGTATTGCCAACCCTTGATAAATGCATACTCTGATTTTTCATACAATTAGCATGTAAATTTCACATACTCTACTTTGTATAACTTACCCATCTGTTCTTACTAGCTAAACCCGAAAAATTTAGGAGCCGTGTCTATATAGGAAGAATAGTTAATTTATTTTTTTATAATTGATCCTTTCTATTCCTTGGTGATACACACACACACACACACGCATATACACACACATACATATATATACATATACATATATATTCATATGTGTGTGTGTCTATATATATATACACACGTGTGCTTATATACACACACACGTATATATATATATATATATATATATATATATATATATATATATATATATATATATATATATATATATATATATATATATATATATATATATATAATATATACATACATAGAGAAAAATGGAGAAACTTGTACCAAGTTACTTGGTAGTGATGTGGCTTCATCTTGCCCCTACATCACACCTTGAAGTTAGAGCCTCAACCACCCTTCACCAACTCCAATGTAGATGTAGGGGCAAGATGAAGCCACATCACTTACCAAGTAGTTGGTACCAAGTTTCTCCATTTTCTCATATATATATATATATATATATATATATTACTATTATTATATATATATATATATATATATGTTGTGCAGTGCTGGGTCTTGTTTCTTCAGCATGTTCATGTGCATAGAGTGTGACAAGTTCAATAACAAAAGGTAAGAATACATTTTTAATTAACATGACTTATCCTGTTTTTGATTAAATTGGGGTTTGCTGTGGATAAAGACCCGTATTCAGAAATTAAAAAGATATGTTTGTCCATTTTTGGTGAGTATTGCAAACCATGCAACGCATTTCAAATACGGTTGCAGCAATGCAACATGTTAGGAGAAGCAGGATTACACAATGTACCATACAACCTAGAGGCAATGCGTGTAGAGAAGGTAATTACAATGTACCATACAACCTAGAGGCAATGCGTGTAGAGAAGGTAATTTATAATAGGTAAAGTAGTATGTTATAGGCAATACCTACCTATAGTTAAGAATATTCTTGGTGAGACACACATATGTTGATTGTGTTGGAGTCAGGATGTGTTAGGAATACTAGGTAAATGCAGTAAACAAAATGAAGCAGATACATTGATCAACTCATACATGAAGTAAAATTTAAAATATTCTGTTTGTTCAATTTTTTTTGTTTGGAGATAGATGATAGAAAATGGTGGCTGACTGTGTTTCCACATGATTTCTGTTTCATTAATTGTCATTGTGATCACTCATTTATTCGTTTCCTGCCATTGAAGCGCTTGAAGGATGTTGTTGCTTCTTTTACTTTTGTGTTAAGCCAATTCTAGAAATATAGAAAACCTTCTCAGCTCTCATCATAACCTTTGGCTATGAAAGTCTGAAACTTGAAAGGATGGATTATGCCTAGGTCTAATAAATGTTCCTGCTTCCAATGATTTATCTGTAACCTATGCTGCTGTTTATGCAAACTATTATTGTTACTCAAATTTTATTTTCTTTATCCGTTCTTCTTGTTAACTTGTTTATCTTCTCTCTGATTTACAGAGTGATTATTTCCTCACCTTTTTTTGTTTCAAAATATTATGGCTGGGGTGACAGGAATTGTGGTTACTAATGATGGAAATGCTATACTGCGTGAGTTGGATATTGCACATCCAGCTGCTAAGGTACTATAGTCCCATTCCCTGGCGATACTTCATCCGTGCTTGTCTAGTTATCTTCATATTTAGCTTGCTTACTTGTGTGTTGCTATGTTACATTCTGAATAGATTCTGTTTATCTGCACAAGACACACTTATTTTGGGATCCGTACTACATATCTGTGCTCTATAATGGATTTTACCTTGTTTTGACATCGTTCTTTTGTTCGCATTGACAGTCAATGATTGAACTTAGTCGCACACAAGATGAAGAAGTGGGAGATGGCACAACATCTGTCATTGTTCTTGGTATGTTCTATGCTTTTGGTTGTATCTCTTTGTTAAAACTGTAATCCTCCAGCTTGATGTGCAACGATAATATTGATTAAATTACAACAATTTTTCTCCGCTCCTTAATTTATCTAAGTAATTGTTTGGTGTCTGTTAGGAGTGATCTGTACATGCTGTAGAACGAAATATTCCTTGTCCTCTCCTCCTCCATGGATTGGCTGTTCCTTATTATTGCTAAGTGCTAACTAATTTTGAAAAACATGTATTGATAGTTTAATGTTTTTTGAAGCTGGCGAGATGCTTCATGTTGCTGAAGCTTTCATTGATAAGAACTACCATCCAACGGTGATTTGTCGAGGTAATCTGTGGTCATGATAAAGATAGCTTTCCTTCAAACTTCCCATCACTTTCTCTGATGGTTTTCTGATTCATATGTCTTGACAGCATATAATAAAGCTCTTGAGGATGCTCTTGCCGTTCTTGACAAGATTGCAATGCCGATTGATGTTGATGATCGTAAGTTGTGCATCTAGAATGCTTATGTTTTAGACTGTCTGTTTATTTTAAAATACCAACACATTTCTGATAAGTAGTCTCTATCTAACACTCAAAAGAGCCCACATCTTTGTTTTTCAGTGTAACTTATGTAACTTTGAATCGTTTACTTGTTTTTGTCATAATATTTTTTAAAGGTTCTACGATGCTTGGTCTGGTCAAAAGCTGCATTGGCACAAAGTTCACTGGACAGTTCGGAGACTTGATTGCAGTGAGTATTTTGTTTACAGTTATTAAGCTATTGTTTATACAGACAAGGAATTTACATCATGCACCTTTGTGTTCGTGATGTGACTATATGAATCTTCCATTAGTTTTTGCATGGATAAATCCCAGTGTTAGAATGTTGATTTTCCTGCTGTTTAATCTTGTTAGTACACTCTTTTTTTTTCTCCTTTTTTTGTGTTTCCCTGTCAATTTATCATCTAATTTTATGTGCTTTTTGGACATGATCCTTACATGTCAAGCTCTGAGCACCAAGATCTTTTTCTGCTGTCACTTAGATAGGTTTTCTTTCTAACTATTTGAATGGTTCCCGTCTTCCCAGTAAGCGAAAGGGGATGGAAATGAACCAGTTCTACTGCTTGTAGTCACATGTTATCACCACTGAATGCATGTACATTCTTGCAGATGTTGTTATCTGCCGATGCAGCTGTTCTAGATTCTAATTATTTTCAGATTTTGGTTCTTTATGGGAGGGATTGTTATCTGCCAATGCAGCTGTTCTAGATACTAATTATTTTCAGACTTCGTTCTCTATGGGAGGGTGTTTGGGAGGGCTTATTTTTTGGTCAAAGTAGCTTGTAAGCTAGCTTATTCATATTTAACCTTTTCTTAACGTAACAGATAAGCTAGTGTTTGTTGGAAATTTGATGCAAAAAGACAATGAAAGAAAAATTTGGCTTGTATTCCTCTCAAAATCGATTACAATTTGGATTCCGATTACAAAAGAGAGGAAAATAAATTTGATTCTCCCCTTTGTTTAATTCTGGGTTCTTCACGGTGGCGATGAGATGCCTCCCTCGAATGCTCGCGTCGAGTTTGCTTCTCGTTGACGATCCGAACGTCTAGATTCACTGGAACGATGTCTTCTCCTCACGATTTGACGCTGTGGAGAACTTGCGTGGCAAGTTTGAAAATAACTCTTAACGAGTTGATAACTCTGAACGAGTTTTGGAAGAACTTGCAGAGCAAGTTTTGAACTCTGATCGAGTTGATAACTCTGACGAGTTTTAGAAGAACTTGCAGAGCAAGTTTTGAACTCTGATCGAGTTGATAACTCTGAACGAGTTTGAACTCTTATCGAGTTGATAACTCTGAACGAATTTGAACTCTTGAAAAAGAGTTGATTTGAACCGAAAGTCGGTTATAAGCCAAGGGAATGCTCTTGTTGCCGATCTTAAAGATGATCTCTTCTGGTGTTGCCCAAAAAAGAAGCCAAGAGCCGAGAGCCAAAAAAGCCAAAAGCCTTCTCCTCCAAGCCAAAATCCCAGCCCCAGAGAAAATGATCCCAGAGCCTGAACTCAGTTGAGTTTTCCCCTATTTATAGGGGATTTAGGGGTGGTAACTGCCCCCTTAATTAGCTCCTCCATGGGCTGAGTGGGGTGTAACTGCCCCCTCTTAAACAGCTCCCTACATCGTGGGGAAGACGGTTTTGAAACCGTACTGTTAGTGTTTTGAACGAGTCAAAACGCTGAAAACAGCGTTCTGGGCCTTAACTCTGCGTCTTATTGATGAGACGCAGAGTTAGGCGCTTGCTGGGAGTTGAAAACGCAAGGTTCGCTTGCGTTTGGACATTAACTCTGCGTCTTAAAGATGAGACGCAGAGTTAGGCGTTCGCTAGGAGTCGAAACGCACAGGCCACATTTGGGCTTAACTCTGCGTCCAAGACTTAGGACGCAGAGTTAAATCTCTATTGGAGATTTGAAACGCACAGGCCGCATGCGTTCTGAAATTGGAAACGCACAGGTCACTGGTGCGTTGAGGATCAACTCTGCGTTCAGAGTTTGGGATGCAGTCGAGTCTGTCGAAGAACGCACATTACGTGTGCGTTTCGTGATTTAACTCTGCGTTACAGAGTTCGACACCTGCTAAGGAACGCACACTTGTCTGCGTTTTACGATTCAACTCTGCGTTACAGAGTTCGACGCCTGTTTAAGGAACGCACACTTGTTTGCGTTTTGAACTTGAAAAACGCAGAAGTGAATTTCTGCGTTTGAGAGAGATTGTTGGCTTATAACCTCGTCCATTATAACATTGCAAAGGCCATTGCTTATTGATCTTTGCCTGTTATAAAATATGAGAGTCGTCAGATTGTAACTCCCGATGTTGATTGTGAATGCTGTTGAATTAGAGCTTTCATCAGTTGTCGTGAAGATCGTCAGATTGTAGCCTTCTACGTGAAAGTCCTCAAATTGTAGCCTTCTGGAAGTCGTCAGATTGTAACTTCCATCATCGGTGTTTGATGAGGGATTAACTATCTATTGTGATTTTTAGACAGCCTACAGCTAGCTATTGAGTCCCATTTGAATCTCCAACTTATGATTAAATGCTTAATGAATGTGTTGTATGTTGCTATCTTAGGTTTCAGGATTTAATGCTTACTGAATATGTTGCATGTGGCACATTAACTTTACATAGAGTCGAATGCAATGCCCATATGTTCTTCTGTGAGTTTTCCTCCCATAATCAAGGAGAAAGTTGGAGGGTGTTAGCTTAAACTACAATCCTGATAAGGTAGGTGTTCTCTACCTACTAACTCACTATCTATGATATGTGTTGAGCTATAATGACTTGATCAGTGTCTTCTAAGCCTTTTGCAGTCAAAATGGAATCTACAATTAAGCAGAAGGCTACATAAAAAGATCTCACATGTCACATCCAAATTCCGTTCTCCACTTCCCATTCAATGAATACATAAAATTAGAATGTTGCAAGGCCAGGAACCAAATGATCAAAAATCATTCACAAAATACTAGTATGTATTGGATGGGAGTAAAAAGATGCATATCAATTTGTTGTTATATGGTACTTATATTCTTTTAAATCCTCTTGGGTAGCAGCTCCTATGGACCAAAGTCGTAAAGAACATATAATTGTGTGCGTTCTTGGATGGTGCACAATGATTAATCGGATTATGCATCACATAGTCGAATTATGCATCATGTATGAATATAAATGTATATGTGTGTGTGTACATATACGTACATATGTAAAGTGGATAGTAGCTTTTGGGCAGCCAACATTGTATCCGTTGGATGGTTCTAATGGTTCAAGATATGAGTAGATGATGTGGCACTCCTTTATTGATGGAGGGTAATAGTTTCATCTAATCACATCCCAATCCAACACCGAATGGTTAAGAAGTTGGATGGACAAGACTTACTACTCATTCAAATGGATAGTAGCTCAACTCTCTCCCGCTGTATGTAATTGGTTCTCCAAAATATAATATGATGAGATTTTGTAAAGTATATACAAAAATCTGGTTATGAGTACAAAACCTATTTCATTTCAGGTTAACTATAACTCTTAAATAAAGACAAAATTTCAATAATACAGCAACTCACATGTAAATATCAAGCACATGAAATTCATCATTTCTTAACTTATATTGCAAATAACAAATTGTTATATGATGGATAGTAGCTCTGTAATACTCACTACTCACTAGATGTAGGACCTGAGAGACTATGAAGACCTTCTTGCGCAATAACATCAAGCAGCGTGTGAAAACTATCAAATAAATCGTTTTCAATTTATCAAAGTAAAAAAAAACCAAGTTGCATAAGAAAAGTTAAAGCAAAATCAAATTGTTGCTACTGTAAATTGTACATATTTAAAAATTTAACCAAATAGTTGCAAATGTAGTTACATGCAAGAGCAGTTGCGACGTCTTAATTGCATGCAAGTGGCAGTCGCATTGCAACAAGAATTGCAATTCGGCAAAAGCCCCCTATATAGAAGTGGTTATGCAGCTTGTCCATACAATGAGAGTTCATAACCCCTATTTGATGCAGTTGTTGCCAGATACTTTCTGCTGGTATTTATGTGTCTGCATAGAGCTTGTTTTTCAACTGTGCAGTATGGAAAGCAATTTTGTTAAATAGCTTCCATCAGTGTGTGCAAGTACTCATGAGTTGATGAATTGCAGAGAAGCACTTATTTGCTGTACATTTATTATTGTTCCAATGGTTTGTGTTTTTTCTAGTAAGATGCAGCTTGGTTGACTCTCTTTCTGACCACCTTTTCAATTTTATAATTGGTTTAGGACCTTGCAATTGATGCTACTTCAACAGTTGGTGTGGACCTAGGCCAAGGTATACGTGAAGTTGACATTAAGAAATATATAAAAGTTGAGAAGCTTCCTGGTGGGCAATTGGAGGACTCCAAGGTTCTTAAAGGAGTCATGTTTAACAAAGATGTTGTTGCCCCTGGAAAAATGAGGAGAAAGATAGTTAATCCCAGAATTATTCTCCTCGATTGCCCGCTTGAGTATAAGAAAGGAGAAAATCAAACAAATGCCGAGTTGGTAAAGGAAGAAGACTGGTAAGAACCGAATTGTTTTCTGTATTAACTTTCTTTGTTATTGTTATTTTTGCTTTAAATATAAATATTGTCTAGAAGATCAGGGAAAGTTGAAAATTTCAATTTATTCCATATCATTTTCTCTTATTTTATCTGTCAAGATTGCATAACTTCACTTGAATTAGGTTGCACGCTTACATTTGAGTTTATGGTATGTCTAATTTATAGACTGGAAATCTTCATGTGATGGATCAAGGAGTTTACTGAATTTTTCTTCAAGGATCAATTATTAATTAGAAAATGGGTATACTTTTAGTTTGTTTACAGCAATGTTCAAGCATTGGGATATAGTTAAAAATGGCTATTCTTTGGCATTTAAACCCTCCGGGTTTGGATTCTAACAGTCTAAATGTTGAAGGGAATTTCAAGAAACAAGAAACAATTTGAACTCTCCATAGAGGCGAAGGGGAAAAAAAAGGAAAATATGCAAGAAATGTACATGATTTTTTAGGGGGATAGTGGGAACAGGCTTTTTTTAGCTATCTTATGTTCCGCCTGTTTACTAATAAACTTTGGTCATACTCTTATTATGAAAGTTAATTGCTTCAACTAAGCTAAATTTTTCTTTATCTTCTTTTTCCCAATCCCCTTTATTTAGTGGTAGGTTTTATCTGATAAAAGAAGCTGCTCAAAAGAATTTTAAAAGTGGGTAGTATGATTTTACTTGGATTAGTGAAGTAGTAGTCCGTTCTTTCTAACATGTTACATTATCTTAACCTTTCATCCTTTCATTAAGAATACATGACAAATAGCAAAGCATTTCTCCCCATTTTTGGGGTCAACATCCTTTTATTAAGAATGGTGGGATGCTATTTTCATTATGACAGGCAGGATATGCCATTTTAAAAGGTAACTAGCAGATACGACCCTTTGCGTCGTGGTCCTTATAGAAATGATCACTCCTGAACTATTTAACAGAAGCGCACATCACAGTCTCTCATGAAATTAACAATTCATCCCAATACAATCAAGTCTTGTGAGAACACCTCACCTATTTGAGCTCCTTTTGTAATCTATCGTGATGTTGCCCTCGTCTCTCACCTCTCCCTCCGTCCAGTCCCTCCTGCATCTATCACTTCTTTATCTTCCCTCTGTGACCTTTTCCCTCATGTCTTTTCTTTCCCTCTCTTTGCAGTTTGCGCTTTCTCCTATCTGCATAGTGAGAGACACTTAGTGACGGGTGGTAACCTCACCTATTTGAGCTCCTTTTGTAATCTATGGTGATGTTGCTCTCATCTCTCACCTCTCCCTCTCCCTCCGTCCAGTCCCTCCTGCATCTATCTCTTCTTTATCTTCCCTCTGTGACCTCTTCCCTTATGTATTTTCTTTCCCTCTCTTTGCAGTTTGCGCTTTCTCCTATCTGCATAGTGAGAGACACTTAGTGACGGTTGGTAAGAATTGCAACTCATGTTCCTACCACATGAAACACTATTTGGATCGAAGGATTGTCTTGATAGAGTAGGGGTGTTGGAGTGTTAACTAAGCCGCTGAGGGGTGATAATACTTACTAAGATTATAATAGATGGGTTAATTTGATTTTTATCATATAGCATGTGAAACACTATTTTATGGAGACTTAACCTCCTTGATGGTAAGGGGCGTGCAGTATGAATAGGTGACACGGAAGATGATATATGTGAGGTTTGTTAGGGTTAAAGTCGTAATAGTGCTTGGAAGGCAATGCAGGACGGGTAATTTTCTGCCTTGTTCATTGTTCTTTTCCATTTTAAACTTGTTGATTTCAGCTCCTGTTTTGATATTTATTAGGAAATATTAACTTTCTGATCCATGCATGAGGAGACAAGTGAAGATTTGTGCGATTGATGTTTCTTAAAACTAGAATTAGTTGTAATGCCTACTCTTTAACTTGCATTAAGAATCATGCCCTTTTTTCCAGGGAAGTTTTGCTGAAGATGGAGGAAGAATACATAGAGAACATCTGTATGCAAATACTTAAGTTAAAACCTGACTTGGTCATAACCGAGAAAGGGCTTAGCGATCTTGCATGCCATTACTTAAGCAAGGCTGGAGTCAGTGCCATCCGGAGGTTGAGAAAGACTGACAACAATAGGATTGCCAAAGCTTGTGGAGCAGTTGTTGTCAATAGGCCTGATGAGCTCCAAGAGTCCGATGTCGGAACGGGTGCTGGGCTTTTTGAGATCAAGAAGATTGGCGATGAGTTCTTTGCATTTATCGTGGATTGTAAGGATCCAAAAGCATGCACAGTTCTTCTAAGAGGGGCTAGCAAGGATCTGCTGAATGAAGTTGAAAGAAATTTGCAGGTATAATCTTTCTATTGTTTAGTTGCTAGTGGAATTAAACACGTAGAATTTTCTAAATTTGTTTAAATGGTAAATGTTTTGATTGATAGGACGCGATGTCAGTAGCACGAAACATACTGAAGAATCCAAAGCTTCTTCCTGGAGGAGGTGCTACAGAGTTGACTGTATCTGCAACACTGAAGCAGAAGAGTTCATCAATTGAAGGCATTGAAAAGGTTTATGCATCCTTGAAATTCATTGGTGGCGTATTTTTATCCAATATTTAGTTGTGTTACTTTGACTGATTGGTTTCTTCTTTTTCATCTGGTGTTCTTAACAGTGGCCATATGAGGCTGCTGCTATAGCTTTTGAGGCTATCCCACGAACCTTGGCTCAAAATTGTGGAGTGAATGTGATTCGAACAATGACTGCTCTCCAAGGAAAGGTAGAACGAAATTCCTTGTTTTTGTGTTTTTTGGGTAAAGTTATAGGAAGCCCCATTCATCTATATCAGGTTTTTAAGAAACCACCTCACTTTAAGTTTAACCAAGAAAATCCTTGATCTGTGGTAGTTATTAAAATCCATAACTTTTTAATAGCTGTAGGTTAAACTTGTGATGCATGTAAGAGAACTGAACTTAAAACATCACAACCATGTTTAAATTTCCCAAATCCATTATGGAATTTAAAGTTAGTCCTCGCACATGCATTACAAGTTTAGACTGAAGCTATTTAGAAACGAGGGATTTTAATAACCATCATAGACCTTTTTATTGAACTTAATGAGGGGGTTTCTTGAAAAACTGGGTATAGATGAGAAGGGGGTTTCTGGTAGTAGTTTATCCTTCTTCGCCTTTTGCATCTTCTTTTCAGTACAGAAGGATATATTTATCTGTTTATTCGAACTTATTATATTATACACAATTGAATACTTGAACCATTCTATTCATAACGCTTTCTGTTTTCTCCATCAATATAGCATGCAAATGGTGAAAATGCATGGGTTGGTATCGACGGGAACACTGGTGCTATTGTTGATATGAAGGAGAAGAAGGTATCATTTAAGGGCCAGTAACCTCCGCTTCTTCAAACTTTTCTTGCTTTCTTACTTCAATTATTGCCTTAACACAGATCTGGGACTCCTACAATGTAAAAGCACAAACATTCAAGACCTCAATTGAAGCCGCTTGCATGCTTCTGAGGATCGATGACATTGTTAGCGGGATAAAGAAAAAGCAGGCTCCTGGTTCTGGGCCTACTAAGCCCAAGATCGAGGAAGAAGGCGATGCTGACGGTGAACAGATAATTCCGGAGTAGAAATGGGTAGGAGTCTATAGTCTTTTACAAAGAGAGGGTTTTAACAAAGATGGAGACTGTTGGGCTGCTGTTAGCTGGCAAATTTTGGTTGATCCTGGATTGACAAGTTTCATGTCCTTTTCTTTTCTCCTACTTTAGAACTGTGTAAATTGACTGTGTTATGTTTCTTGTGTTCTGGTAGTTTTATGTGAGCATATAAAGACCAGTATATTTTGTTCGCTTAATGGATTGTGAGCGTCTACCCCTTGTCAAAATCCAAGTTATTAGTACTGTCTGTTGTCATTCTTTCTTACTAGTGTGAACGCCGTGCAAAGCATATCTTTTTTTTCCCTCTATAGTAATCCCCGGTTTTAAATGCTATAAATTTTTTTGAATTGCTACAGTATCCCACTCTTCACTATGTTTTTCAAAACGTTACTTTGTTCTCGTGTGCTACAGTAATTTTTTCAAATATACTGGTGCCGGATTGCTACAGTAATACCGCTACTGAATGATACTGTAACATTTACTGTGGCATGAATAGTGAATCTTTGGTTTTCCCATAGAGGAGTAGTTATCTTTTTCTTGTCAAGCTATTTATGGATTATTAATTATGAATCCCGAAAAATGCTTTGAGACCCCTTTCTTAGGGGTTGTTTGGTTAAAATAATTCTCTTTAAAGCCTGCCAAAGTATCATTTTTTTGGCAGGCTTTAAGCAAAAGCGCTTCTAAAAAAGAGGATTTTGCTTGAAAGCCTGTCAAAAAGTGGCACTTTTGACACTTTTGGCAGACTTTCAACAATAACTTTCCCTAAAAAACAGGGAACCAAACAGCCCCTTAATCACGGAACATGCCCACCTCTGATTTTCTCCTCCTCCATTAGGTTCAAATTTTTTTTTTTTGCCTTCTTTTTTAGGGTTTCGTTGTGTTCAATCTTTTTTTATTATAAATATTCTCCATTTGAGACTGGTTCTATCTGAATTTTGGTTTCATGCAGCTTTTTTTGATTTTCATTTTTTTGCGTGAGATCCCCAAAATATGCAAGTAGTTGAGTTCGTCACACGCTCTCTTCTCCCTTAAAATCCGACTTTCCACCAGTTCAAATTATCACTGGAGTATGATAACTGCAAATCAGGGTAATTTATATGCGCAGCAAAGGACATAAAATTTTCTAATTGGCATTCAAGACGGCGCTATAGTCTGAAGCGTGATATTGTCGGAGTACAATTGAGACGATAATAAATATATAATATATATATATATATATAATTATATTATATATATATTATATATATATATATTATATATAATATTATATATATGAGAAAAATGGGTATGCTTTGGTACCAACACAAAATTTTGTGCTTGGTAGTGATGTTTACATCCTCATCCACTCACTACCCATGTGAATGTGGTCCCATATTTGAATGAGTGGAGGGGGATGTGACACATCACTACCAAGATACCAATTGCTATATAATAATAATATATATAATATATATATATATATATATATATATATATATATATATATATATATTATATATATATAATAATATATATGAGGAATAATGGGTATGTTGGTACCAAGTACAAATTTATGTGTAGTGAGTTGGACAATCCCCTCCACTCATTCAAAATGGGGACCATTCACATGGATTGAGGAATGCATGGATATGTAATTATTTGAATGAGTGGAGATTATGCCATCACTACCAAGCCACAACTTTTTGTGCCTTGGTACCAGCATACCCATTCTCTCTCTCTCTCTCTCTTCCTATATATATATATAATATATATTATATATATATATATATATATTATAATATTATATATATTGTAAAAATGGATTTTGAAGGTAGCCCCAAAATTAGAAGGCACATGTGATCCTATCCCATCACTTTTAACCCATGTGCTTCTAATCCTAAGATTCAAATTTTCACGTGCTGAAGTTCTTCTCAGCTTGTATTTTTTTCTATCATTCTTAAATCTAGTATTAAGAATTATTTATTAAGTTATATTTATCGCCAAATTGATAATATGATTTTTATACATACCTACTCATGAAAATTTTAGCGATAAGTTTTTTTTACTACTTTACAGAGTGAATTTCCAGACTACTTAACAAAACAATACACCAGTTGGCGAGTTTTATCAGTTTTATATACTAGAGCTAGAAAATATTTGTATTTGTGTAATGTTTAATAAAGGTCAATTTCATTACTTGCAAGAACGACAAAAAGTAAATTTCAAGGTTAAAAAATATTACTTTAGATTGAACAGTGAATAAACTAAAGAGATAAAATATTCATCCTAATATATTGGGATGTTTAAGATTAAAAAATTACACTATAGCATTAATAGTGTTTATGGGGAAAAAATCATTGCAGCGCGAAAAGTATGGCCAAGGCTGAAAATGTTATGAGAGCATGAACAATAATTTTAACCCTTCTTTTCCCTCTCCTATTTCATTTTCACTTTCATCCCCTTCTCTTCTCTTCTGCTCCATTTTCACCCTCCTCTCTTCTCCTTCTCCTTTCATACTTGCCGAAAAAGTCATTTTCTTTGACTAAAATGGTCATGTCATAAAGTTACGCCAAAATTAACATTTAATAGTTAAAATTAACATCTAAGTTTACAATTATCATTATATGATAAGTGTTAATCTTTAACGAGATAGATGTTAAGTTTACAAAGTATATGTTAATTTGAAACTTTGTCTATTAATGATTCAAGCCACGTGACAATCTTGGGGTTACAATGCAGCTATTAATTCATAGAGTTAACACCAATTTGTTAAATTCTTATTGAACTTAATAGCTAATTCATAAAATTATCATCTATATGTTAAACCCAACACCTAAGTCATGTAATTATCATCCATCTGTTAAACTTAACACCTAAGTCATATTGTTAACATCTATATGTTAAACTTAATGGCTAATTTATATAGTTATCATCTATCTGTCAAACTGTTGCTAGATGTTAAATTTAACACGTAAGTGTTAACTTTAGTCTGACTTTAGGAGATGATCGTTTTAGCCAGAGGAGACGGTCTTTGAGTAGCGTGGCAATGGTTATGGGAGGAGAAGAAGAAGAGATAATTTAGGATTTGGACAATTAAACTGGAACTAGAAGTAAGTTTTTGCAAAATTATTTTCGCGTGATTCTGCAAAACATTTTTTAAACTTCTCTTAAAAAAAAAAAAAAAAAAAAAAAACCACTTTTAAACGTTATCTCAAGTTAGTTTTCATGACAAAATTCTGCATAATTATTATTATATAATAAAATGACTGAAATGGCCACGAGCGACTGAACTATATTAAAGAAGCACTTTAACACATAAACACGAGGAGAGTAGCTCATAATCACGCGAATAAAAACTCGATGCATCTCAAAATCCCCCGTTTCTAAAATTGGCAAAAAAAATTAGCGAAAAATTAGCGGAGAAATTACCGTATAAATAGAACCTCCTTCTCTCGCATCAATCCATGGTAGCGCCGGCGGCAACCTAGTTTGCTGTGATCTTCGTCTTCTCACCCTCTTCTCTTCGAATCGCCATGGCGTTTTCTTCTAGAAGTTTCTGGAATCGGGCGTTTTGGCTGCTTCTGTTAGCGGCGAAGGTAAGATAATTGAGTTGGATCTGAGATCCGGAGTGAACGCGTGGGAGTTTGATTGAATTTATTGATTTTGATCTTCGTTTTGAAATTTTTAGGGTTCGGGTTTGTTCGTTTTGGACTTAGATTGTGATTCTGTGCTTAATTTTGTGATAACTGTTGAACTGAATAATTAATGTCCGAAAATAATTCTGATTGTGTTTTGCTAATTAACTACACGGGCTGACATTTCTTTTCAAAATGCTGCTGAGTTCGATTACTTCTCAAAATTTGTTGAAGTTTCATCAACAGATTTATAAAAGTTGTTGACGTACGGAGAAAGCTCTTATCTTTTTTAAAACCAACTTTTATGTCGCAAAATTATGGGCTGAAACGTCCTCTTGTCAGGCTTCAAAATATCCTTTTTTTATTGCCATTTATCTTCCTGAAATTGAAGTGATACGCAGAATTTGTCTTTTTATGTATTTTCCAACATGTAATGAAATTGTTGTTTAAAGTAGGATTCATGTGTTTCTGGACTTTATTATTTTCGGAGTGGCAGATTATAGGACTATGCTATCGTAATTTTTGAACCTTAACTTGAATGAAGAAAGATTATAATATTGGTGATGGGTTAATTCAGAATGTTTAAATGTTGACTTGGAGAAACCTTTATCTGTCTTTGCTTTTGCTTATGAGCTATAATCAGTATGCAATGTATCCAAGATGCGATGAAAAGAAAAGTAATGCTTAATTCAAAGTCTTCGTATGGTATGTTGTAAGTATGTCTTTACTATGGCATTAAGTTATGAGCGATGCAGACTACTATAGCATTACTAATGTGGTTAATCATTTCACGGAATGATAACTATTATAGCATCAATGCTGGGTTAGACATTTGACAATCAATGTCCTACCCCCACCAATTCCAGCCCGCCCGATTGCCCGCCTTGAAACGAGAAGGTTGGTACTGAGATAACCATATGCAATATAGTCAAGCAATCTTGAGTATTCTGCATGTCACTTATGTGTGAATGTGTAAAGCTACAATGAAGGAGAGATGTGATAATTGATGGCCCTCTGTTATTAAGAGAATGTAAGGTCACACAACAAATCCCATGGTACAGGTTGAACAACAGAAACTCTTTTCTTTAGACTATTAATGATATTTTTTCACAAATAGATGATTTTTACAAATATTTTGATTCTAAATATTGCCTGTTGTATACTCGATCATTTTGATTTTAGCGGTTTCATGTTGTTGACGATATTCCAATGATTTAGACTTTTAGTTCACAATCTTCTTTTCCGGTTTCATGTTGTTAAATATATGTTGTGTGATTGCTTAAGTTTAATGCATGATTTCACAGGTGGTGATCCACATATCTGCTGTGAATTCAGAAATATCTGATACTCTGTTGCTTACAAGATCCAATGATCCAGTAAGGTGAGTTGCGCATGTTAACTATGAATAGATTTCTATGAGAGTGTGGTTAAGTTGCTTTTTTCTGCTAGAAACTACACTACTACTCCTAGAGAGCAACATCCGTGATATTGTCTTTTTCTTTTTTCAATTTAGTTCTCTCTTGTCTTTATGTTTTGTTCTCGTGTTATCTAGGTTCACCATTTATTCTTTTCTATATGAAGTAACAAACTATTGCATAAGTTCTATGGTTAAAACTTTTTGTGTTTAGCAATAAGGTGCTATGGCTTAGACCGTAGGCTTCTTGCATGTAATTACCTTTTAGCCTAGGAATTTGGGACCAATTATGCACCAATTATAACAACTCTTGTATCAACCAGATTAAATCTTGATTTAATAGACTCAAATTGTGCAGTATATATTAAATTTTTAAAATTTATTGTGGAAGAATGTATATGTAGTATTTGAGGATTGGTCAATTTATGTAAAAATGTTAATTCTTTTGTACAAAATTAGCAACACTGAAGTAGTACTAGCAATTCCGTTTGTCTTCTCACCTTGTTTTGTACCTCTGCAGTTGTAATAGACAAGCTTACCATCCTAACTTCTCATCTATTTTCCTTCCCCATCTAGACAAATTCAAAGGTCTACTTTTTAGTTGCAGAGAATTAAACTTCATAGTGCGAGAGAGTTTAGGTCCATGCAACTGTCTTAAGGCTGTGACTCCAAATTGTGAAGATTGATGTGAGGTATGTTTGAGTTAGTAATTCAGTTCTATATCAGCATTGTCTTAGAAATTCTATGAGTGTAAGAAACAAGAACAGGGGCTGCTTTTGTGGCGTTCTAAGAGTTTATCATATTGTGAGGCAAAGACAATTAGGTATCAGACTTTTAGTTGGTTTAGGTTTTGGCCAAGCTTTACATTAGAGATGCCATGCTCCCAAGTTGCAGTTCCTAAATTTGGGAGGAATTAAATGTTGTCCTGTACCTTAGCAGTAGCGAAGTTAGTAGAAGTTATCTTCATTTCTCCATGCACTCACTATACTGAACAGTTATACGTATTACTCCCTTTCCATCCATCTATCTATTAATGATGGCTCATTCTTTCAGATTCCGGAATTTGACAAAGTAAATTTAATTCTTTAACTTGGACAGAGGAAAAGATAAGAGAAGCTTGTTTTTATTTCATCAATAATTGTCTCTTCTGCTATAATATTTATCCCATATCTAAAGGACAAAATGACTGGTGCTCCGATGGCCAATATACGTTTATGTACTTGGTCAATTCTTTTCCAGTGCTTTCTTGGTTTCATGTCGTACGCGATAGTGAACATCAGTTTGATGGGAAATGCTTAGATGGCAAGGATGATAATAATGATCATGACTTCTTACTGGTAATAGATAACTTTTATTAAGTTATTTGATAGATCATGGTTCTCACTGGAACCATGTTTAGTTACACTTACAGTAAACTATGAATCACGGACACTTATATCATGAAGCTGAGTAGTACCTACTCTCAAGCAGCATGTAATGAACAAGATGTTTGTCATGCCTTTGTGTGTGTAATTCTTTTGAAATATGCAGTGAATTGTCATGTCATATCCATGTTATGTATCCTGCTACCTATCGTAAATTATCTTCTATTATATCATCTACCTTTGCTTTCATTGGTCCCAAGTAAGGTGTATAATGTTCTTTTTGCCTTTCCAGACAAAGCAATATTGAAGGAAATTGGCATATGCAAGACTGTAAGGACTGTAAAAATAGACAGGTTCCAAACTTTTTGCTCTTTCTTTCTCATAAATCTACTCGTAGTCTTTTCTTTGGATGGGTTCTCTTTCTGTTACTAATAATGTGCTACAGTGAATTTTCTATAACTGTCAGTGTATAGTGCATCAGTAAATTAATGCCTCTTGTAATGTTATATTACTCAAGCGGTGCCTTGATTGTATAACGTTAGTTGTATTCGAAGAGTAATTGACTAATAGGTAGTCATAATGACTGAGTTTTGTATACACACTGTTCTGTTGACATACACTTTATAGAGCATTATTATCTAGTTATTGTTTTACAACTTATCATGAATACTTTTGTCGAGGACTTCATTCATGTCGCTCATACATTTATCTTAGCTTAGTTTGTATGACTTTTAAAGTTTTGTATTATTGTGCTAGAAGTGAAACTCATGTTGCTTGCCAAAGCCAAGAAATAATGTCCCAAAGTATTCAGTAAATCAATACCAGTCAATTTCTTCTCTTCTATGTATTTGGAACGTTATGTATGAGCTATGTCAAAGGATTTAGTAAATCAATGCCAGTCAACTTCTTTTTTTCTCTGTATTTGGAACGATATGTATGATCTATGTGGTGTTTGTGTTGTAAGAGGGTGTATGAGAATGATGCATTCATCCCTTGAAGTTAGAGCACATAAGGTTTGTGGTTTTTCCTAACTGTTTTAGCTTTAATTTAAAATTCTACAATTTACTATACTGCTTCTTGTGTCTGGTTTTCATTTTCTCAAAGAGCTGTTTTCAGTTATTTTATTACGTAGAGCTGCTTTAGTAAAGCTTATTTATAGGACTTTATTTTATTCACATTAGCTATAAGTTAGCAGTGAGTGTAAAGCAATTCATATAAGCAAATTCCACTTGCTAATTGACTAGGTCCATTCAGTTAACTCTTATGCCATCTCACTCATCTCCCTGTTCCCTTTTAATGCTTTTAACTTCAAGGGAGTATTAATTAGGAATTCAAACAATTGATCATGGTCTAAACATTTATGAACATAATGATCAAGCTTTGTGGTCAATACTTCTTGGACCGGTCTCTCTCACCAGCTTGTCGAGTCAAATAAACCATTGGTAGTCTGAAAACTTGATGCACATAATGCGCAAACCAAAACATTGATATGGTTTTGTTTCACAATTTACTCAATTGAACCTTGGCTAAAATATCTAAAATATCTCCATTTAAATTTGATTACAGGAATTTTTAACATTGATATAAACAACAATGATTGAAACATCAGTCATAAAAAAATTTGCATCTGTTTCTGTTTATTAGTATTGAATACAGTTACCTTTGCTTTACTTGGCATGGGTGCATTGTTTGATTAAACAGGAAAACAGTTATAAGACAAACCGTTCGAGTGAAAAAGTGGACTCCAGCCAAGGAGAGGTAACAGTAGCATGTTCTGTCTATTCTAAGAAACAATGAAATGTTTTTAGCAACTTATATTGTTGTTAATTCTTTACGCGTTTCTTATTACGAAGGCTATATTTTTACAGGCCATTGATATAACTGTGACATACATGGATAATTCTGGTAACTTCAAAAGTCATAAGGTCAAGTCAAGTGATTTATCATCTTCTTGGGTATGGGAGAATTCTGCTGGAAACCCCACACAGCAAAAGGTTGTACTGCTAATCGTTTGACTCTTCTCTTCCTGATAGAAAAAAAAAGTTTATAATTTTCCTACTAAAAGAAAATTGTGCATCTATTAGGGAGATCTACAAGAACTAGAGGAACATGTACCTTGTTCTTAATTCAGTATAGCAGAATTTCAGCATCATCTTACTTCTGTGGATTTGTTTTAGCTTTCTTGGTTTAATATAATTTAGTAACTTTTTAGTTGATATAAATTAATATTTATTGGATTTTTTACATGTCTCCTGAATTACCAGGGAGAAGAAGGCTTATATCAGCTCAGGGTGAACAAATTACAGGAAAATGATCGCTCTTCAACTGATCATGACAAACTACCTTGCCCTATTAAACTTAAACGTCAGGTAAATATCTTGTCATCATAGTGTATGTTGGTTAAATTGTTTAATTCATTTTCTCCTTTTTTATGCTTCTTCCCTTCTTTACAGCGATTGAGGCAAAAGAGGAAGGAGTTGCGTGTAGCAGAGCTGGTTCACATGAGTAAAGAAACTGAACTCGAAATGGAAGCAGCAGCTATCGAACGTACTAAAAAGTTCAATCACATAGTAAAGGGAAAGTACAGCATATGGAGGAAAGAATATCAACCCACTTTCACAGATTCCACATTAAAACTCATGAAAGATCAGATTATTATGGCTAAAGTGTATGCTAGCATTGCTCGCTCTTTGAATAAACTTGATCTGTATAGTTCCCTGATGAAACATATCAAAGCAAGTCAGCTCATGACTGAAGAGGCAACTTCGGATGCTGACCTACACTCAGGGTATCTTTCAAATTTCCTTTTTGATGGGTTTTTTCCCGATATTAGTCCCATAAACTTTTAATATTTTGAAATTAGCCCCTCAAATCATTGAAATTACTATTAGTTACCCCCAACTCTTATATCTTGCTACCGCTACTCTTGAGGGACTATTTGAAACAGTTTTCAAGAATCATGGGACCTAATAGCAATTGTAATGATTTGAGGGGCTACTTTTGAGACAACTTAAAAGAATTCGGGCCTAATAGAAAATTGAGGAAATAGTTTTCAAGAATCATGGGACCTAATAGCAATTGTAATGATTTGAGGGGCTACTTTTGAGACAACTTAAAACAATTCAGGGCCTAATAGAAAATTGAGGGGCTACTTTCAAAATATTGAAGATTTAAGTGACTAATATGGAACACGAACCCTTTCAGCTAACATATTTTTATTTAATTAACTCAGTGTAATGTTACCTTCTTTCTTCATTCTGTTCAGTGCTCTTGAACAAGCAAAAGAAATGAGCAATGCCTTAAACCAGGCCAAGGGAGTGCTATATGATTGTGACATAATAGCCAGAAGGTTGCAGGCAATGGTCCAGTCAACAGAGGACAACATAATCGGAGTGAAGAAACAAAGCACATTCTTGATACAGCATGCTGCAAAAACGATGCCTAAGCCTCTACACTGCCTTTCTTTGCAGCTAGCTACTGATTATTTCTTAGATAATTATGCAAGTAAAGGACTAGTAAACAGTCCAAAGCTTACGGACGCTTCTCTATACCATTATGCTATATTCTCTGATAATGTACTTGCAACATCAGTTGTTGTAAATTCTACTGTTGTGCATGCCAAGGAACCCGAGAAGCATGTGTTTCATATAGTCACTGACAAACTGAACTTTGCTGCTATGAGGATGTGGTTCATTGCTTACCCTCCTTCACCTGCAACAGTACATGTGGAGAATATTGATGAATTCAGTTGGCTAAATTCTTCATACTGTTCAGTTCTTCGGCAACTTGAATCCGCAAAGATCAAAGAGTATTACTTTAATGCCCAGCATGCATCATCACTATCCGCAGGAAATGAAAATCTCAAATACAGGAATCCGAAGTATTTGTCTATGCTCAACCATCTGAGATTCTATATGCCTGAAGTGTATCCAAAGCTAGATAAGATACTATTTCTTGATGATGATATTGTTGTTCAAAAAGATCTAACACCTCTGTGGTCCATAGATTTGAAAGGAATGGTGAATGGTGCAGTAGAGACCTGCAAAGAGAGCTTTCATCGGTTTGACACATATCTCAATTTCTCGAATCCAAAGATCTCTGAGAATTTTGATCCACAGGCTTGTGGATGGGCTTTTGGAATGAATATTTTCGACTTGAAGCAATGGAAGAAGCGAAATATCACTGGAATATACCATTATTGGCAAGACTTGGTAAGAAAGGAACTATTGTTATTTATTTCATTCTGTCTGTTAACTCCACTTCTGTTACCATTTGCATCTGCACTTACGTCTCTGTTCCATTTCATCATTTCTATTCTGTTTTTTCATCTGCTAATTTTAGGCAATTGAATTACTTGTCGACTTACTCTGTTCCCATTTTTCTTCTCCTATCTTTTCTGATGGTTTCGATTGTCATAATATGCATGAAAGCACTTATAATTCAACGAGGCAAGTGCAGACAAAGAAAAATCGCCTGTGAAAGCCTAATTGCGCTGGAGGAGAGAATCCTTAATAGTGTTGTGTTATTAAATCAAGTAATTTTTAGATCTTACGCATGCTGGTGTAGGATCTGTGAATACCTTTACCCACTTGTAGTATAGGGATTTTAGCATTTGACTAGACAGGAACTACAGAAGAAATTTGCAAATACTGAAACAGGAAAAATGTTGATCTGTATCAGTCTGTATTGAACTCCATGCATGACTATTTACTCATTCAGAGTTATGAGTGTTGATCACTCATATTCACTTGTTCAGTCCTTCATTGCATTTAAGTGTTAAGATCGACATAAAGAAGTGAGAAACATGCAGTAGTTTGAGCAGATTTATGGCATAATTTACGGTGGTTTGGGGGAATATTGTGCATGCGCACAAGGTTGGATCAGATAAAAAATCACTCAAAACACAGAAATATTTTTTGTTTGTCGCACATTCCCATATAAAAATTATTAGGCACTGATTTATAGCATAGTTTATGATGGCTAGCAGTAGGATATGAAGTGCGTATCACTTTATTGCCTTGCTAGTAATGGTACTGTGATGCTTAACATGACTTGAACTACTAGCTTGGCTTTAAGGAAACCAACACCTTAAATCCTCCATTGGTGGATCACATCTTTGCAGAAACTAAGCAGGCAAAATGTGTGTCAATGTCCAAATTTTAGAAAGTAATTTTATTACCATGCATTGCAATTTCACATGGCAAAGATAAACCTTACCCTAATTAGAAAAATGAGGAAAGGTTGAGAATATGGCGTATTACCTTCTTTAATGGGTCTTTTATGGGCAAATCCATGTATTCATCAGGGAGTTTAGCATTATTGTGAAAGGTCTTTGAAGAACAACTATATCATGCTATATAGTCATCAAGCCATCTATTTTTTTGTATATCTAAACATGGGGAATTAAATGATCATCTCTTCTGCCTTCTAAAATTAGGTCCTTTTAATCAGGAGCATTTCCTGTGTCACATTTAGGACATGTTCAGCTGAAATTTTGTATCACACACTCATTAAGGCTAGTTCACTCAGAACAATGACTCTTTTTGCAGAATGAGGACAGAAAACTGTGGAAGCTTGGAACTCTTCCTCCAGGTTTGATTACCTTCTACAACCTGACATATCCCCTGGAGAGGAGCTGGCACGTTCTGGGTCTTGGTTATGATCCAGCTGTGAACCCTAAAGACATTATAAATGCAGCTGTTGTTCACTATAATGGGAACTATAAGCCTTGGTTGGATCTTGCTATCGCAAAGTATAAGCAGTACTGGTCCAACTTTGTTCCGTTTGACAATCCATACATTCAAAGATGCTACGTCGATCAATAATTTTTTTCCTCCTTTTTATTTGTAAATGTTCCCACAGTTGAACTTCTGATATGCCTAACTCTTCATAATTTTGTAGTAATCAAAGCTGAGTTATTGTGATTTTTTCGATGTCAGAAGTTGACGAAACTCTACTTAGCCCCATCAGTAGTCTGCTCTTTTTCTAATGTGTACTCACAGAATATACGAGAGTTATTAAAAAAGGGTTAATTGCAAAGAAAACCCGTGTCATGTAGATATGCTTGTTGAATCTCACATTTATCCGTATGGATAATGTTTATGGTAGTCAATAACTTTTTGATGACATGTTTAAAGCTTATTTGTTTTGTTTTAAGCTTATGTTGCCTGTTAACACCCACAGATGTCATAGAATAACAGAACCTATGGTCCTGGAAGTCTGTTCTTCTGCACCAAAACTCCAAAGTTGTGGCCGAGATTAAATACTGTGAACTAAACATACCCCATAAGTCGAACGTCCTTTTATAGCTTGGAGCCTACATGTCCGGTAAGATTTTAAATATGGTTTGCTTCGATACCATCTTATAGTCCCTCCCGCTACAACAAAATTCTGAGATTATAACGGAGGTTAGGGATATAATTTTATAATCCAACTGTCCTTTCTTAGATGTGGTTCACTGAACGAGTGCTTCTGGCAGAGTCTTGAGTTGGACAACCATGGGCTCTCACCATGATGTCCCCATGTGCTCTGCCGCCTGAGACTTGCTTTGCACTTTTATCTCCTCCTCTCTTTGAAGCACGGCATGCTTCTTGCTCTGGCATCTTCTCTGTTGAAATAATTAGGGTTGATGATGGCTTTGTGGGCTCCTCTATGAAACCTCCACTGTTAATATGAACACTGATTCTTTGAATGACATATTAATTTGCTCTTCATGTATAATTGTCGATCTAGTATACATATGCTTTGTTTTCTGGAAAAAGGTTATGCGTGCTGTGTTCTTTATGTTGCTTGCTACAGGAATCTAGTGAACCCCTAGACTCTGGACCCTTGTGTGCGCGTGGGAATTATTCCCCGTATGCATCATCTCTTTCAACTTGGCTATATACCCTTTTTCGTACGTAGGAGGAGTAAGTAGAAATCCTCTGCTTTTATGATTTTTGTCTATGTGAGCTGTATCACTTTTAGCTCTTGCTTTTGTTTCGTGTACGCACAAAGCTGCAAGAGGGCAAGGAAAGGGAGTAGGCATGCAGATTATATTCTCAGAGTTTGAGTTCAAAGAGTTTGGGAAAATTTGTTATAGCAGCATCTTTTTTTTTTCTTCCATGTATTTTTCTTAGCGTTACTCATCATTAAAGTTACATGCATATAATGTGAAGAAGGCGAATGAATTGAGAAAACCGTGAAGAATAAGCAAGATAGGCTCCACCACACCCTGGTGGTGTCTGCCACACCCTGGTGTGACAGAATCTGCCATGTTTATCAGGGGTGTGGTGTGTGCCACACCAGAGTATGGTAGACTCGTTTTTAGAATCCTAATCTGTTTGAGATTGTGTTTTGTTATAAATAGAACCATGTTTTTTAGGGTTTCCTAAAGAGAGAATTAGCAGTCTTTTGAGCACTTTGAAAGTGAGATATTGTGAGCGGGTTGAGAGCTTTGGTTAGAGCTATATTTGAGTGATTTTGTGAGTTGTAACCCGTTGTATTTCTCCTCCGTATAGTAAAATCTTCACATCCTCTCCCCGCGGACTTAGGCAATTGCCGAACCACGTAAATCTCTGTGTTTGGTTTTGGTTTTCTTCTCTTATCGCTCACCGACTCGTTTGGTTGTCGAGCACGCTTCCGCATGACGCGCAACATATAAGAGCGGTGCAAGAGTGAAGTAACTCGAATTACTTCATCTACGACCAAAAAACATTACTTTTTCTGCAAAATGATTTAACACCTTCTCTGTGTTTTTTTTTCCCCACCGACTGCAGGGAGCAGTCGAAAGCCTCGTTATTACCCTTGTCAGCGTAATTTATCTTTCTACTAGCTGTGTCAAGTGTATTACATACTCGATATTTGATCAAATTCTGACCAAAATATTTTTTAGAACATGAAGCCCCCATGGCGCCAACAAATTTAAGATATAAAGGAGCTCTCATGATAATGTTCGAGTTGGCGCTGTTTGGTTCTGCCATTGCACCAAGTTGAAACTGCAGTCGCGTGCAACTAAAGATATTATAGGCTAAGTCGTAATAATTTGTTTCACGGCACCAAGCTACAACCGTACTCGCAACCATGTATAGCTTCAAGAAGTCGGCAGCGATTAAACAATCGGCACAAATCTGAACATAAATTGCAGTTTCCCACATTTTTTGAGCTCTAAGGGGGGTTTGATGCTGCAACTTCATTGCGAACCAAACTCCTATACGCCAAACGAAACACCTGTAATCACTTCGAGTAGAAACTAAAACATTTTAAAACTGAACCAAGCAACTATAGTTATAAGAACTGCATGCAACAGTTGTTAAAAATAAACTTTAATTACATGAAATTGACATTTACACTGCGATCTATTCCTCTATAACAATGGGAGGATTCAAGATTTACCATTCGTACTACAGTAATGCCACAGCAAATTACTGCAGCATTCAATGTTGCAGCACAGACATGAGGCTTCGGGGTTCACTATTCATGCTACAATAAAACTTTAGCATTAGTATAGGTGGGAACTGTAGGGGCTAAAACATTGTTGTAGCATTATTACTGTAGCTCAGGCGGGGGGTACTGTATCACTTATAAAAAAATGTATTTAAATATAGAATTACTGTAGCACTTACAAAACCGTATTTAAAATACAGAATTACTATAGCGGAAATAAAAAAATGGAGACCGTGCTTTACACGAGGTGCATACTAATTATAGATGACAACAGGATTGACAATAACCGTACAACCAACCGCTCAACAAGTTTGGTTCTTCCTTTCTGCACTAGAAATAGTTTTTAGCTTTTTCGAGAAATCGAAAAGGCTAGTCTCACTCTTGGAGTGAGGACTCGAAAGTCCCCTTCAGCCTTTTTTCACGGCCTGGAGCGTGTTTTGATTGATGACTCGATGCGTTTGAGACAAGTTCAGGACAAAGGAAGTGAAGGCTCCTTGTCTATTGACTCTATTTTCCCTAATTTGGGGAAAAAAACGTACTAAGCTTTTATCTCAGGAAGCGGAGGAGTAACATGGGACTGTTGAGATCAAAAATGGGAGCTTGAAATGGCTGCTCATCGAGGAAGCGACAACTTTTTGGTTTGTGTTTGGCTCAAGCGCTCTTGGATTCCAAAGAGTGTTTTTATTTTATTTTATTTTATTTTATTATAGGAGGGGAGTACTCCGAAAACTTTTTGCAACTTGGAGATAAGAGTGGAACTGTGTATTTCCTCAAAAAGACGCGAGACTAAACTTTTTTTTATTATATATATAGCAAAAATAAAAATTGATCGACGGTTTATGAAGATGGTAGGATGCACGTGCATGTAGGGGCTCTACATAAATTAGAATGCAGCTGGTCGAACTCCTCTTTACATCTTCTGCTAGATCCTGGTTAAGCTTAATAATACTCTATTATGTACTCGGATCATTTTAAATCTAATAACCAAATCCTGTTACCGGAGTACATTGGGAACTTTTTGGAGGCCCATTTTTCCTGGGCCGAAGGCGAGGCCCAATCTTAAATATTATTTGTGTATCATGTACAATTTTATAACTGAATCATTCCATTTGATAAATAACTTAGACGTTGTTAACACGAAAAGTACAAAATTCTTCTACTGAAAAGATCTTGACAATCTCACCTGGCACACTTTTTCCGCCATTAAATCCTAACGAACAACCACCCCAGTTCAAATTCAAAAAAAAAAAAAAAAAAAAGTCAACACGAACTAAAATTGCCACACAATTACCAAATGGGTTTAATTTGAGGACAAAAAAAAAAAAGGGTCATTTTCCATTGCCCTACAACAATCACAGTAACTCCCTAACACGCATTAATTATTCCCTTAACTCGTCGAACCCTTAAAACGCCAAAATAAACACAAATTATTACATCCCCCCTAAATAAGAAGAAGAAGAAAAAAAAAAAACAAGGAAATCTAATCAGCCGTCGCCCACGTCATGTCCCCCTCGAAGATCCAGTGGCACACCTCGATCTTACCTGGCGAGGACCCCAGCGCCACGAAGGCGCCGTGGCCCGCGCTCCAGTCCGACGTGTCGAGGTGACAGATGGCGACGCCGCGGTTGATCCTCTGCTTAGTCTCGGGGTCGTGTATGTTCCGCCCTCGCTGACCCTTGACCCTGGGCACGGAGTGGCAGTAGTAAAGCAGGTAGGGGAACAGCGACTGGTGACACGACACCGACCGGGTGACCTTACCGCCGTTCACCCCCTGACGTCCCCGATCAAGATGCTCCCTTTGGACCCCCTGGTGCTCTCCGTGTCCCTGACCACCACGTTGGGCCCAGCACCTCGACGGCGAAGTCGATCATGTCCTCGGCCGACGCGGCGCACCGCTTCGTCTCGCCCCGGCTCGGGGCCCGCCCGCACTCGGCCACGGTGTCGCCACGGCCTTGTGCCCATCGCGGTGGCGTCGCGCGATCTGGAATATCCGCCTGACGTCGCCGGCGAGAACGGGATCTTGCTGGAGATCGACCGCGGCAGGAACGACCGCGCGGGCATCTTGTCCCTTAATGTCCGGCATCGCATGGCCGCCCCCTTCCTCAGGTTGCTCTCCCTGAAGAATTTGCCCGGCTCCACCCACCTATTTACGGGGCCGCCGCCGACCATCTTCTTCCTCCTCAGCTGCTGCATCTCCTCCGCTCCCTCAGCCGCCGACAAGCCGGCCTCCTTCGGCACCGTCGACGCGTTGACGTAGGACTTGAAGGAGAACTGGTTCCCGTTCTGAGGTTGTAGTAGCCTTGAAGCCCGAGAGCTCGCCGGCGTAGCTGGTGAAGTTGAACGCGGTCGTCGGTGGACCCCTCGCCGTAGCCCTTGAATTTGTCGCTCCCTCGTTGAACGACTCGCCGTAGCCTCGCGCAAGGCCGCCTCCCCGGCGTGCCGCTTCTTCCCGTACGAGGCGAAGGTGTCGTCGCCGACGTTCGACTGCGTTCCTGTACGACGTGAATCGTCGACGCCGCCGTTGGCCGTCGGCCCGTAGCTCTTGAAGCCCAGCTCCGGCACGTTCCCGCCCTCGCCGTAGGAGCTGAACTCGTCGGCCGCGCCGTTGCCGCCCTCGCCGTAGTTCTTTGAAATCGGATCCCATGACGTTGGAGTTGTCGGAGTAGGACTTGAAGGTCGTCGGCACGCCGTTGCCGCCCTTGCCGTACCCGCGAAGGACTCCTCGCCGGAGTTCGTGTCCCCGTGTACGCCGAGAAGGTCCGCTCGGGCCCGTTGGCGCCGGCGTCGTAGTTGTGTTGAACCTGAGGTCCTCGACGTTGGACCCGGTCTGGTAGGCGGGCGAATTCGCCGGACCGCCGGTGGCCGATGTGGGTAGGAGGTGAAGTTGGTGGTGACGACGTTCCCGCCGACGGAGTAGGAGGCGAAGGAGTCCTCGTCGCCGACGGCGTCGCGGCTGTAGCGGCGGAAAGTGTCGACGGGGAGGTTGTTGCCGTCGGAGTAGTTCTTGAAGGAGGAGGAGAAGCCGGTGCGCGACGAGGCGTAGTTGGTGAAGTACAGAAGTCCTGAAGGTAGGACTTGAAGTCCGACGGGCCGTCGTGGGCCTTCTTGGCCCCGAGCGAAGGGCTTAATGAGGTGGAGGTGGAGTTGGAGCAGAGCAGCCTGGCTGCGGAGCAGAAGGCTGGAGCCTGGGGCCGAGGTTGGAGGGGCGAGGGAGAGAAGGCGGTGAGTCGAGGGGGGAGAGGGGGAGAGCTTCGAGGAGAAGAATGCGGGCGCTTGGCGGCCGCCGGAGACCCTGCGGGCCCAGTAGCGGAGAGGGAGGGCCGAGGGGGACAGCGGGCTCGGGCGGCGGCTCGGCTTGGTCATGAGAAGGAGGTGAGGCGGGAGGAGAGGAGGGAGGCGGGGCGAGGAGGAGCAGGAGGAGGAGGAGGGGATGGAGGAGGGAGGCCATGGATTCCGGCGGTGGTTGAGGCGATCGAGTGTTTTGGGGGGGCGAGGAATAAATAAATAGGGGAGAATGGATGCTCTGCTTTCACTGCTCCCCACTCTCCCCCACCTTTTTTTTTTAATTCTTTTTTTTTGTTGCTTTATTTGCTTTTTTTTAGGGGGGGGAGGCTTTTACTGATGAGTCTTGACTCTTGAGTGTTTGGAGATATGCTTCCACCTTGTTTGATGTCTAATTTGTTATTATATTTACTAATAAGCCCAGAGGAATGACGGGATTTTAATTCGGATTCTTTTCTAAACTCGAGGGTGATTTATTCCCTAAGTTTGTGGGATCCGGTCGCTTTAGCGGGGTGTTTGTTTCGAATCCTATAATTTTAGGATATGGATTTTACCGTATGTGATTTGGAATCCACGGGTGTTTTGTTACGCGTTGGGATTTTTAAAATGTTGTTTGTTTCAATAATATTTTAGGATTTGGAATACTACAATTTGTAATGTTTTGTTTGTTTCAAGCTCAAATTGTAGCATTACCAAATATCAAAATTTTGTAATATCACGAGTATGCAATCTTTGTGAGGTTACCATCCATAAAAAGACAAAATTGGGATTTGTGAAAATCCTCTCCAATTGAGAGGATTTGACAAAAATTCTAAAAATTAGACATTTTTTCTAATTTTGGGATTCAGTATTCTAAAATTTTCTTAAAACAAACACCGTACGTGGAACCTTAAAACACGAAAACTCACTTTTTGATCCCAAAACTTGTAATCCATACCAAATGCCAAAATTTTTGGTAAAACAAACACCCGCTTACAAGATATAAACCCGGGATTCGGTGATCGAGAGATGTTATGAATGTAGTTAGGAAAATAACTGTGATTAGGCAATTGAGTTTAGTCCCGTATCGAACCGCGACACAAATCTTTTCTGTTATTGTATCCTTATCTAAAGGTGGTTAATTGTAGCTTTGATGAATGAAATGAGAAAATGTATAACGGTCTATTTTCGAATTTAAAAAAAAAATTGTTGATTGTTGATTCTTCCGGATTTTTCCATAGCGAACTGTGCCATGCTTTGTTTGTTTTTTTTTAAAGGGTAAGGAGGCTTTTACCGACGAGCTTGAGGACAGGCAATCGTCTTTTGACGGAGGGATGGATGATGTTGATTTGCGTTGCTTTTTCCCTTGTAACCCCCCTCTTTTGTTTACTTTAGGGTAATTTTTTTGGACTTATGGGAGCATTATTGGTGAATTGGGGACATTGATGATAGAATTTGTCTTTTTCTTTATTTTTTCTCACGATAAATCATCACTTGCTAGATGAAGGGGAAATCCGTAGATCTACGAAAAAGAACCAACTATTAAAAAGTAACTTTCTTTTTTTTTTTTTTTGCTTTTTTCCTTGGTACTTATACTTTTAAATATTCATTTTTCATAGTTGTAAGAGCATGACAAAAAGCGAACGTTTCGTTAGCTTTGTATCTTAACTTTCCATATTTTCACTTTCAACTATCCCAAATTAATTTGCAGACAGATGAGAATAATATTTTTCTCTAGCTTATTTAACGTTCATTTACTTTAACACCTCCTAAGTTTTTTTTGATGACTGTAAGGGGAACTTTTTACCATTATATGAAAGATTGTAAATTGATTTTTTCAGTAAGCGCGATATAGAGATTGATTAAATTATTATCTCATAATATGAGGAAAATCCAAATTCAAATTATTCTCAGGAGATGACAATCCACAGGAGATGACGATAACCATGAGATATTATTGTGTAAAAAGTAATGCGAGGAAAATCCAAATTCATTTCCTGAAGAGTTTGTTACACCTGGACAGATTTTTTTCTCAAAATATGGGAATTTAAATTAATTCTGTTTTGGCATCGAAGAAATGCAAGTGGGTTAATATCCTAGTCACATGATCTTTATCCAAATACATCCCAATCATTTAGTACGGTGGGGTTTTAATTATTTATGCATATATGTATACATACATCATTAAAGCCTAATTAAAGCCATTTGAATCTAAAGGTGATGCATCTTTTTGTGGTTACGTTTCTTTTCACGCTCATGTTTGTACGCCCCAAAATAAGATAATAGGGTATAACTATACTTTTAGCAAAGCTCTGAGTGGTTTGGGGATCTCATCACATTCATATGCGATTGCAAGAAAATCCTAAATTATTTTTACCTACTTTGATTGATTAACTCCTTAAAGCGGTTTCATTAAGATGGTGCTAATGAATGGACAATAATACATATGGGTGTTGGTTTTATGGGAAAAAAGCACTTATATGCATCATATAGCGCAAACAATTTTTTTCATATTATTTTTGTTTCAGGCTTTCAGCCAAAATCTTCTTTTTTAGAGGTGATTTTGGCTGAAAGCCTGTCAAAAAGTGACACTTTTGATAGGCTTTCAAGAGAGCATTTTGCTCAAAAACAGGGAACCAAACAGCCCCTAACCTATTTTAAATAGTAGGTATAAAAGAAGTTAATATTATTCATGTCTGACTTGATGAAAAGCAGGGAAAACAATAGGGTATATCGCACTTAAATACTCTAAAGTTTGCGTAACAATAGGCCATATGGCACCCTTAGATTAGAATTGGTAATCCGTGTATTGCATATTTATGCATGTCAGGAATTTTGAAAAAGCCCTTACTCAAAATCTTGTTTGTTTGTGTTGGATATTAAAAAAAATATTTGCATAAGAAATAAAATCCAACCATGTTATGTTTGGTTGCACATAGGTTTTATTTAGGACATGGCGTCAAAATCGTGAATCCGGTCGAAAGCAGCATAATTTTAGGGAATCATATTTGAGGCATCCATCTTATGTGGCGACTCTAAATCTGCGGCATGAAAATTACCAAACAAACACAGTTCTTGATAGGAGCCCGCAATATTAAATTGGTGGATCCCATTTTTCTATGTAAAAATCCAACAAATGCATGGAACCAAACAACCCCTAAATGACTTTTAAAAGATCATAGTCACAGATATTCATGAGTACAAAATTTAGCTTATGCTGTGTTATTTATTGCAAGCGCATGTGATTCAATAACGAATCAATCATGCATGAAATGTACATTTGTAAAAAAATCCTAACATAACATAAACTAACTCATAGCTTAATACTACACTAAAGCTATAACTAAATAGACCCAAAATCTGTACAATTTTGATAGTCGGTAGTGCTATGAATGTCACGTGAAATGTTTAAATGCTTATCTAATGTCAATATGATTGTCATCACACAGTTCTTAGAAACTTTTATCAGCAATTGAAAAGTAGAGGTCTGTAAATTATAATGTCATGCTAACGTAATTATTATTTTTTTTATCGAACATGCTAACGTAATTATTATATCATATTGAATCTATTATTTCCTGGATCCCATAAGTTGGACAGGGCACGTGCTCAATTTCCTATGGGCTCCACCGCACATACTATTTTACCTCATTTCCTAAAGAATATGTACTCCTCTTTCCTTTCTTTTTCTCTACGTTTTTCCTTATTTAATTTAAATTCATCAATCTTTTTACCGCCATGATGTTTGTTTCCGATACGTGTACTCATAAATCTATATGATATTTCAAACCCAAAATTAGTACTTTTTATTCCGGTTAATTAAAAACTCTTATATCATGGTACCTTACTAAAATTGTGATTTTTAAAGCTGCAATGTCGTTGACAATACGAATTTCATGAATCTCATGACTTTTAGATTTAATTTTAAGTTATTTAAAAATTTTGGATCTAACGTGAGATTATGATTTTACCTTCTTGAGCACTATGATGTGGGACTCAGTATTATACAACATTGTTCACTTTCGCAAGTTCTTTTTTTTCAATTTATAAGAAAAGGAGAGGTAACGTAACTATTGCTATATATTTATCACAATTCTGTCCCTTTTCTCCTTTTGTTAGAAATTTAAATGTATTACACATGTTTTTAATGGGGTTAGAAGTACACACCTCTTGCATGAATGAAAAGGCTTTATCATTTGAGCACGATATAACCATGTTTAAAAATATCTGTGCTGATATAATTCATGATTAAGCTGAAATCAGTAAAGAATTTCGTGTGAAATTTATATTCAAATTAGGAACTTTGACTTAGAAAGTATAAAATATAAGTAAGAGGAAATAGAGCATGAAACAATTCATGAATAATTAAAATTAAATATATATATATATATTTATCAACATCCTCATATCTACAAAGTAAAATTTAATGCAACTACTTTCTTGGAATAAGCAATAAATGTTCGAGTCACAGAAATCAAAGTTGTTTTTGCTCTGAAATACAGAATGGTTGTTTATAATTCCCAATGCTGGTTTATTTTTGCCCAAACATTTGTTCCCCTTCCTCCTCGTTCATCTTGGAAGTTCGTTCCCTCCATCTTTAGAATTTGACAGTCCGAGGACATTTTATTTGCACATTAGTAATTCTGTATTTTTTTAAGGTTATTGTGGCTGCTGTTATTAATTACCTTCTCCTAGAGATTGGATTGTGGACTTCCATCCTCACTCTCAGAGAGAGCACATGTCATATATATATACTAGTGTGCACCCTGTGCAAAGCACGACCTTTATTTTTTATTTCCGCTACAGTAAATCTGTATTTAAATACAGTTTTGTGATTACTACAGTAACATTTTTTATGCCACAGTATACCGCCTGAGCTACAGTGATGGTACTACAGTAATGTTTTCAAACGCTACAGTTCCCCTGTGCTACAGTAATGATATTACATTTATTTATTGTAACATGAATAGTGGAGCTTGGATCCTCCTGTTTTGCTACAATACTAGTGCTCCATGTTTTGCTACAGTAATAGTGATACAGTAATTTACTATGTGCATGAATATCGAATTTTGGATCATCCCATTGTTATAGAGGAATAGATATATAAAACAGATGATTTGGCTTCCAAGATGTTTTTGTTGTTGTGTTTTGTAAAAAAAAAACACATTGATGTTCTGTTTTTTCTCCTAAAATGTTTTGAAAACACCGTTGTGCAGGATCAACAACGAACTACTGAAAATTACTACCAAAACAATTCATAACTTCAAAAAAAAGGAAAAATTAACCTGGAGGCGACGGCGAGAGCT